TTGTGTAAACCTACAGAGTAAGTACCTTGTTAGAAACCCAGGCACCTAAATAGTGAACAATAAGTGAGGACTGGGTGATTGGTACCAGAGAAGAGCCTGAGAGCAAGTCAAGTAAAACTGGGGAAGAACCATTTCTACTTGGGAAAGCCACAAATATACTCCAGAAGGAGGGTCATTAATCATATATATATTTAATATATTTTTATTGATTTCAGAGAGAAAGAGAGAGGGAGAGAGAGATAGTAACATCAATGATGAGAAAGAATCATTGATCAGCTGCCTCCTGAACACTCCCCACTGGGAATCGAACCTGAAACCCCAGCATGCGTCCTGACCAGGGATCGAACTGTGACCTTCTGGTTCATAGGTTGATCCTCAACCACTGAGCCACACTGGTCAGCCAATTTTATCCTCAGAGCAATGGGAACAAATAGTAGTGTTTTAAACATGGAAGCATCCTGATTAAATACTGTTATGAACTGTCCATGTTCCTAGAAAAGGCCGGCTACCTTTCCTGTGGTCTAGATCTCATCCTCTCTTGCTATTCCAGGACAAAACATTCTGTTTTCTACATCATCAATGTTTCTATCTCTAATGGATTATAGTCAAGCACATTAAATAGTCTTATATTTATCCCATTTAAGAAATCTATTAATGAACCTGTCCTACCAAGCTACCACCAGTACAGCAACCGTATTTTTCTTTTCCAGTACAGCAAAAGTATTTTTTTAAATTATGTACCCTTATTTTTTTGTAATTTCTCTTGAATCCATTTCAGTTAGGTATTCACTCAATCAACTTTATCTAACTGCTCTTGTGAACATTATCTATAATGTCTATATTGCTAAATGTAATGATCAGTTCTCTGCCTTCATTCCTGTTTATCAATATGCACAATAGATTTCTCCCTTCTGGAAACATTTTCATTAGGCTCTAGGTAGGGCATCTCACCTGTCTGTTTTTTCTCCTACTTCATTGCTCACTCCTCAGTCTTTATTATTGGTTATGCCTCATCCTCCAGGGTTTAGTTCCTGTACCTTTTCTCAAGTCTCGACTGACACCATTAACAATCTCTTTCCTCTCCTGGCTTTACATATCAGCTAAGTGTTGATGATGCAAGTGTACATTTCTCATCTAGACATGTTCCTTGATGTTAAAACTCACATTGCCATATGCAGAAATTTAACATGTCCAAACTGAGTTCATAATCTTCCTTTAGTCTTCTGAATGTCAATTAATGGCAATGCCAATTTTCCATTGGCCTAGGCCAGAACCGTAGTGTCTTATTTTGTTCACATTCTGTATTTAGTCTAAGAGTTAAGTCTCTCCGTTTTATCTTCAAAGTATATGTAGAACTGAATCACTATAATCACCTCTACAACTTGATCCTAATTAGTCTTCATCTCAGACCTGGGGATTAGACAGGATTTTCCTAAATAGTCTCCTTGCTTGGGACTTGTACCTCAGCAGGAATAGCAAGTGATATTCTGATTTTGATAAAAGGTAAGTCATGTTTGTTTTTCATCTGCTCAAATCTCTGAAATGCCTGCCCATCTCAAAGTACAAGCCCAAGTTTTAAACTGGCCAAGGTCTAATATCTGTCCCCTTCTTTTTTTAAAAAAAAAAATTTTTTTAAAATGTTTTATTGATCTTTTACAGAGAGGAAGGGAGAGGGATAGAGAGTTAGAAACATCGATGAGAGAGAAACATCTATCAGCTGCCTCTTGCACACCCCCTACTGGGGATGTGCCTGCAACCAAGGTACATGCCGTTGACTGGAATCGAACCTGAGACCCTTGAGTCCGCAGGCCGCCGCTCTATCCACTGAGCCAAACCGGTTAGGGCTGTCCCCTTCTTTTTACCTGTCTGATCTCATCTGCAATTTTCTAGCTCACTCACTCTATTCCCACCACCCAGGTGTTCTTGCTGTTCAACATTTCAGGCAGCTGCCTTAGGGATTTTGCACTGTCCATTTCCTATGCCTAGGAAAGTTGTCCTCCTACCATTTGACTTGCTTTCTCAACTCATTCAAGGCTTTACTCAGCCATTATCTCCTCAGTGAGGTTAGGTCTGATCACCCTATTTAAAACTGTAATAGCCCCTACTTAATACTCCCAATCCCTTTTCTCAGCTTTCACTCCATAGCACATAACCATTCAACACAGTGTATATTATATTATTATATTATAGTATAGTATAGTATAGTTGTATTATATTATATTATATTATATTATATTATATTATATTATATTATATTATATTATATTATATTATTATATTATATTATAGGCCCAGTGCACAAAAATTTGGGCATTGGTGGTGGGGGAGTGTCCCTCAGCCCAGCCTGTGCCCTCTCACAGTCTGGGACCCCTCAGGAGATAACGACCTGCTGTCTTAGGCCCGCTCCCGGGTGGCAGAGGGCAGGCCCAATCCCTAGGTGCAGTCCCTGGTCGGGCTCAGAGCAGGGCCGACTGGGGAGGTGGGGCGCCGCCCCCTGTCATGCACAGAGCAGGGCGGATCAGGGGGTTGGGGTGCTGACCCCTGTCACCCACAGAGCGATGCCACCACCAGTCACGCTCAGGGTAGGGCTGATTGGGGGGTTGGGGCGCAGCCTCCTGTCACACTCAAAGCAGGGTTGATGGGGAGGTTGCGGCACCACCCCCTGTCACATACAGAGCAGGGCGGATCAGGGGGTTGGGGTGCCGCCCCCTGTCACCCACAGAGCAGGGCCCATCAGGGGGTTGGGGCACTACCCCCTGTCACACTCAGGGCAGGGCCGATGGGGAGGTTGTGGCTCCAACCCGTCACACACAGAGCAGGGTTGATCAGGGGGTTGGGGAGCTCCCCCCTGTCACGCACAGAGCAGGGCCCATCAGGGGGTTGGGGAGCTCCCCCCTATCAGGCACAGAGCAGGGCCGATAAGGGGGTTGGGTAGCTCACCCCTGTCACGCACAGAATAGGGCCGATAGAGGAGTTGGGGCACCACCCCCTGCACACACAGAGCAGGGCGGATCAGGGGGTTGGGGCACTCCCCCCTGTCACACACAGAGCAGGGCCGATCAGGGGTTTGATGAGTTCCCCCCTATTAGTCACAGAGCAGGGCCGATCAGGGGTTTGGGGCGCCTTCCCTTGTCATGAACAGAGCAGGGCGGATAGGGAGGTTGTGGCCCTGCCCCATGTCACACACAGAGCTGCAGGGCGATCAGGGGATTTGGGCGCTGCCCCCTGTCATGCTGCTCCAGGGGCCAGGAGGCCTCGCGGCTCCGCTGATCCCAGTGCCGGGAGGCCTCGCAGCTCCACTGATTCCGGTGCTGGGAGGCCTCGCTGCTCTGCTGATCCTGGTGCTGGGAGGCTCCGCTGATCCCAGTGCCAGGAAGCCTCGTGGCTCTGCTGATCCTGGGGCATGAGGCCTCGCAGCTCTGCTGATACCGGGTTTGGGAGGCCTCGCTGCTCTGCTGATACTGGTGCTGGGAGGCATATTACCCTTTTACTATATAGGATAGAGGCCCTGTGCACGGGTGGGGGCTGGCTGGTGTGCCCTGAATGGTGTCCTGGATCAGGGTGGGGGTCCCACTTGGGTGCTTGGCCAGCCTGAATGAGGGGATGATGGCTGTTTGCAGCTGGTCACACCCCGTTCAGGGTGGAGGTCCCTACTGGGGTGCCTGGCCAGCCTGGATAAGGGGATGATGGCTGTTTGCAGGTGGTCACACACCCTTCAGGGTGGGGGTCCTCACTGGGATACCTGGCCAGTCTGGGTGAGGGGCTGAGGGCCGTTTTCAGGCTGGCAGGTGACTGAAGCTCCCAACCTCTCCTTTTTTTCTTTTTTCCCCCTGGGATTTATTTACCTTCTATGGCTGTCACTGGAACTGAGAGCCAGCTCCAGCTCTGAGACCTCGGCTGCTGAAAGCAGGTTCTGGGTTTGTTTGGGTTCTATAATTGAAACACTGTTGCAACTCCAGCTCGGCCAGCTGGATGAAAGCATGGGGTTTGTTTAGCTTCTATAATTACAACATTGTTTCTTAGAGTGCAGCTCAGAGCCCAGCAGTGGCAGGCGGGGAACCTTGGCTTCCTCCTTCACTGGAGCAAGCAAGCCTCCTGTTTGCTTCAGCTGCCTGGCTGCCGGCTGCCATCTTGGTTGGCAGTTAATTTGCATACCACCCTGATTAGCCAATGGGAAGTGTGTCAGAGGTATGGTTAATTACCATGTTTGTCTATTATTAGATAGGATTATATTATATTATATTATATTATATTATATTATATTATATTATTTCTTTGTCCTGTTTATTAACTCTTTCTCCCTCTACTAGATTCTTTTCTGTGAAGCCTGGTGATTCTTTTCCAATGGCAGTTGTATTTTCTACCTACAACAGTATCTGGCATTTGATTGTTGTTTAAAATACTAAGTAATAAAATGAAAATAAAAATAATTATTTTGCATGTTGAACATATTTCCATGATATTTCCTCTGTGCTTAATTGGCAAGTCATATAGTCTGAATAATTAGGCAGTATATATTAAATATCTGGATAAAACAAGAAACAAATACAACTTATAGAGCTTTATACTATACTAAAGTCATAGTATAAAAAGGATGGTGTTAATATTGTACCTCAAAGCCCCTGCTAGAATGAAGTGGGTTTTATATCAAGAGGTGGTGGCATTTTGAATATTTTATAAATCAGATCAAAGAAGATCAGGATGTAAATTACTTGCTTTGAAGATATGCATAAAGGATATTGATCCAAGTCTTCAAATTCAAATTCCATTTGTTTCTTTTTTCTTTCTTTTTCTTTTTTACTAAGGAGTGTTTTTACAAAATAAATTATATGGATCATTTTGTGATGTTTTAATACTACTACCACTATTTGATAGCTATGTCTGACTTTCATTTTATAGAAAGACAAAAGTAAAATAATGTTTTGGTTGTTTTTTAATTTTTGAATCAGTTTGTTGTAATTATGGATTTTTTTAACTTGCTCTCTTTCTCTTTTTCTCAGAAGGAATGATATCAACAGGAAAACAGCCACTAGTGTCTAACCCAGCCGTGGGCAAACTACGACCCGCGGGCCGGATCCGGCCCATTTGAAATGAATAAAACTAAAAATAAAAAGACCGTACCCTTTTATGTAATGATGTTTACTTTGAATTTATATTAGTTCACACAAACACTCCATCCATGCTTTTGTTTCGGCCCTCCAGTCCAGTTTAAGAACCCATTGTGGCCTTCGAGCCAAAAAGTTTGCCCACCCCTGGTCTAACCTGTTTTCCACAGAATTTCATAGATTAATTTCTTATACTTAATATTAGCATATATATGATTCATTTATTTTTGAAGCATTCCTAAAAACCCATGTTAATGTTGATGCTAATTAGACAAAATTCTTCAAGAATGGATGTGATTAGAATTTGATGCTACATTATTCTACAGTAAACTAATTTTCTTGATTATTCTGACCTATGATTCTTTTTTTTAATGCCCACTTGCTGGGTAATCTGCTTCAATTAGGATATGTAATATATTGGTTCAAAATTTTATCAATACTTGTGAGAGTTTAGAAGTTACATGTTTTGGTGATTTATAATATATTTTTAATGGACCAAGCTTAAAAAAATAATACTTGTTATTTGAAAGTTTTTCATGATGAAGGTCTTACTTAGTGATCTATTTCTAAGATGAAGGAGATAAATCACTTTCAAATATTAGCAAGGTTATTTTATCTTTGTTAATTTTATATATGAGAAATATTATTTAACAATATGCATAAAATGTCATTTAAAAAGTCTAATAGCCAGTTGCCTCATATACTGTCACTAGAGGCCCAGTGCATGGGATTTGTGCACTGGTGTGGGGGCGTGGCCTGCAGGGATAGGCCTGCTATGAGAGCGCCGCTCATCCCAGTCATCTGAGTGGCTGTGGACCCGCCCTCTGATAGGCTGCTCCAGCAGTGGAAGTACCAATCATCCCTGTCAGCTGAGCGGCGCACCCACTGTGGGAGCGCACTGACCTTCAGGGGGCAGCTCCTGCGTTGAGCATCTTCCCCTGGTGGTCAGTGCACGTCATAGCGATTGGTCGACCAGTTGTTCTTCCGTTTGGTCATTGGGCTGTTATTATATAGGATTAAAATATGGTCCCATTAACTATATTTAATCTACATAAAATAATCTCTGGGAGTTGACATTGATAGAGTTAGAAGAAACATATCTATTAGGATCTTTTCTTGTAGAAAAATGGTATGTCTTGGGCAGATCCTCCTCATTTGGAGCTGAGACTCTGAAGGGTTGTGGTATAGAAGAAATAATCCTTGGATGATAGATCTTCCCAGGAATTGTTTGGACAGAAGTGATTGATGATTGCTATTTTCTCAGACATATGGCCAGGACAAATAGATATTCCCTCTGGAAGAAGATAATGTAATCCTAGAGCTAAAATGACTTCCACTAACAATTTTACAAATAAAATGACTGACACACATACAAAAATAACCATATAAATGAGATGACAAGGAATCAAAAATGTATTTTTTGCAGATCTGACTAAAAAAAAAAATAGGTACAATTTTGACTAATTCACACCAGATGGCTATTGTGTTGGCTGTTGTCACTTTTTATTTGACAGCCTAAGGAAAAAGAGGTCAGTGCCCTGACTAAATAGTCAGGTAGTGCATGTTTTAAAAAATTTGGCACACTGGTTGAAAATTGCTGCTCTAGTCCAATGAAGTTGCCAAATATGCTGACCCAGCCCCTCTAAAACTAGGGAAAAAGCAGATATTAATTTCTGAGACCAAACTTTCCCCCTATTCCAAACTCTTAATTCTTCACTATCTTTCTTTTTATATTAGGTCATAAGTGAATAAAAAAGTTAACATTTGTAGTTTTCTAAATAAACAGAGCTGGTCCATTATGCACAGTCTGCCATTACTAGAAGCAGAAGTTTATAAGCTTTAATGAGTACGATAAATGTAATTAATTCAAAAGACAGCTTAAAGCAATTTTCTTAAGATAAACAGGTCAATTTCCGTTAAAAAATAGCAATTATATTTCTTAATTTATTTTCTGGTTGACTCCTAGTCTTATTAAATATTCCTGCTAGGATTCTGATGTCAGTAACTGTTTCAACTGTGTTAAAAAATAATCTTCTTTCTCCAGCACTTCCTCCTTCAAATACATCCTTCTTGCAGCTGCAAAATTATCTATTTAAAATGCAAATTTCACTATGCTACTCCCTTTCTTAAAATGCTTCCATGCTCACAAGAAGGAAAAAAAAAATCACCCAAAACTACTAGAACCAATAAACTAATTCAGCAAGGTCAAAGGATAAAAGGTGCATATAAAAAATATTGACTGTTTCTATATAGTATCTAAAAGTGATCAACAATGAAATTAAGAAAATAATTTCATCCAAAATAGCACCAACAACAGTAAAATAATTAAGACTAATTTTAACAAAATGCATGCAAGGCTTATGTACTAGAAATAACAAAATGTTATGAAGAAAAATTAAAAGATTCTGAACAGATGGAAAGATATTCCATACTCATGTTTTGGAAGACTCAAAATTATTAAGATAGCCGATATGCACAAATTGATCTATAGATTGAGCACAATTCCTATCAAAATTTCAGGTGGCTCTTTTTTTTTAACAAGGGAGAAGGTGATTCTAAAATTTATAAAGGCAAAAAAAGGACCAAATAGCCAAAACACTGTTGAAAATTAATAACAAAGTTGAAAAACTTAAATTACTGGTTTCACTACTTATTTAAAAGTGCAGTGATCAAGATGGTTAAAGATAGCATATTCTTAACATAGCTTATGAATAGACATAAGGCTAGAACAATGGAAAACAATAGAGAACAAAACTAAACTCTAAGATTTATGGTCAATTGATTTTAACAAATATACCAAAAGTGTTCAATGTAGAAAAGATAGTCTTTTCAATAAATGACGCTGGGATGAATGGATATTCACATATGCAAAAAGATTAATTTAGGTCTTTACCATGCACAATACATAAAAAATCAACCCAAAATGGCCCAGAGATCTAAATGCAAGAGCAAAACTATACACATCTTAGAAAAAAAAAATAGAATAAGATCTTTGAGACCTTGGACTAGGCACATGACACATAATTCATGAGAAAATTAATAAATTGAACTTCATCAAAGTTAAAAACTTTTATATTTCAAAAGGCACTGTCAAGAAAATAAAAAGACAAAGACACCTAGAGAAAATATTTCCAAATTACTAATCTAATAAAAGACTTGTATTCAGAATATATAAAAAACTCTCACAACTGAGTAAGAAAAACAACTCAGTTAAAGTATTGGTAAATAGGACGTGCTGTCAGGAACAGAGCTGAGTAATAGTCCCACACTCTTGTTCTCCACTCAACAACAATTTGGCATCTATTCATGTCAAAGTGCCTTTGTGGGAGCTGTGGGACCCAGCACCATATGCAAAGGGACCCAGGAGGAGTCTCACCCAACTGAGTGTCAGGTAATAGACATATTGACCTGGGTTTGAGCTTGAACTCTGCAATGGCTCCAGTATCTGGTAACTGCAGTCCAGGAACTCATAAGAGAATAATGTCAGACAAATACCCATGGTCGAGAAAGTTTTTCTGGAAGTTCAGGTTTCCAGTGAAGTTGCAGCACCAACAAAATTGGTACAGTCACTATGGAGGAGAATGGAGGGTCCTCAAAAAAGTAAAATTAGAACTATCATATGACCCAGCAATCACTTCTGGGCTATTTAGAAAGAAAATAAAATCAGGACCTAGAAGAGATATCTGCAAATGCAGAATTACAATAGCCAAGATATGAAAAATACCTAAGTGTATGCCAATGGATGAAAGCTTAATGTACAATGGAATATTATTCAGTCATGATAAGAAGGAAATCCTGACACTTGCAAAAACATGGATAGACCTTGAGAGCATTATGCTAAGTGAAATAAGCCAGACATAGAAAGACAAACACTGCATGAGATTACTTATATGGAATCTAAAAAAGTCAAAATCATATAAATAGATTTTAGAATGGTTGTTGCTAGGGCCTGGGGAGTAAGGGATATGTGGGGGACATTGGAGAGATATTGTTTCAAAGGTACAAACTTTGAGATATGAAAAATAATTTCTGGGGATCTAATGTACAGCATGATGCCTATAGTTAATGCGTAATACCATATCGTTTACTTGAAAGTTGCTAAGAGAGTAGATTAAATGTTCTCATCACAACAAAGAAACAATAATTATTTGTGATAATGCAGTTGTAACTAACCCTACTGTGGTAATCATTTCGCAATGTCTGAGTGTATCAAATCATCCTGTGGTACACCTTAAACCTACACAATGTTATATGTCAATTATGTCACAATAAAATTGGAAAAAATTAAAATATTGGAACATTAAAAAATGGGCAAACGATTTGAATTGACGTTTCATCACTAATGATAAATGGATGTCAGTAAGCACATGTAAGCACTCAACACATTTAGTCATTATGAATTCAAATTAAAGACACACTTCACATTTATAAATAAAAAGACATCCAATGCCAACTGTTAATGGTATTGTAGAGATCCTAGAACTTCCATAAATTACTAATTGACATGTAATATGGTACAATCACCATGAAAACTTAGTGGCAGTTTTCTAAATAGTTAAGCGTAAATGCCATTCTTAGAAATCTACCCAAGAGAAATGAAAACATATGTCTACATACAACCTGTTTACAAATGTTTATAGCAGCATTATCCATGACAGCCAAAATGGCAGCAGCATAAACATTCCTCAACTGCCAAATTAATAAACAAAATAGTGTATATTCATGCTATGAAATGCTATTCAGCAATATCAATAATAAACTAACACTACAGCTTAAATTAAACTCAAAAGCATTATTCTAAGTGAAAGAAGGCAGTCACAAATGGTATGATTTCATTCATATGAATTATCTAGAAAAGGCAAAGATATAGTGATGGAAAGTATATTAATGGTTTTGAGGGATAGAGGTGGGAATAAGAAGTGACTGCAGTTGAGGACTAGGGATCTCTTTGGGGTTATGGAAACATTCTAAAATGGTATTATGGTGATGATTACATAGCACTATAAATTTAT